GAAATGTATATTATCACGGGCACCCTGTGTTTTTAAAATACTTTACATACGTTTAATCTGAACTACCCTATTACATCTCCGTGCATTTTCAATGAAAATTGTTACCAAACTTGACGCTGAACGGGGTGAAGCGAACTTTAAAAAATATATCTCTGTATAATCCAATTTTTATTGAATGGATGGAAGAGGTAAGTAATTATGATTTCCTTACATCAATATTTACTACCTCAGTATATTCTATTGACTCATACTTGTTCATTTTAGAGGACGCGATGCTTATTTGATGTAATTTGTTGACGAATCAAAATTATACAAATACACCTTAAAGAGTTTTAAATTTCAGGGTACTTGGCAAATGTAGAGATTAGTTTGTATTTATTTTATGCTCTTTTGACACATTAATTCAAAATCTGGATATAGTTAACTTTAAATAATTCTACAAGTATTTCAGATGGGTTTTTTGTTTGGTGAAGGTTTTTGAGGATTTACGTGCTTTGAAGAGGATAGTCAACTAAAGGACTCGGGCATCGAACCCCATCCCAAAAGATTTAGAGGATGTGATGTGAATAACTTCATTTGTGTGGCGTCATGTTTACTTTTATGAACCCGGTAGCAAACTATGTCAGAGAAATTCGAGTACCCTGTAAACTCGACCCAATCGAACGAACCTCGACAACACTTCCGTTCGTATTCGATTCTCAGTCGAGTTCCCGAACTCAGTCGCCGCATTCCTCTAGAACGATATCAACAGCACCATCCTTAGTGTATCCATTTGTAAGGCGAGACATTCCCCCTGTGAAACGACAACTTCATCGGGAAATCTTGTACTTCTTTGGACGCAATAATGAGGTAATGTATAAATAGATATTTATTACAAGTACATGTATTGAATAAAACCACCAAAAAATGAACTCTATAAAACTTGATCCTAGCTTGGATCTAATTTTAAAGAAGGAGGTCATATACAGGCACACAAAATTCTTAAATTCATGAATTATAAAAGAAAGCACGAAAAAGGAACACATAATGAACATCATAAATACTTAATAATTATAGAGTACTAGTATATATATGCATACCTAAATGTATATCGTTTGTCAAATCAGCTTCTGGGGCTATTTCAGTCCTTTGGACCTTTGGGTTGATACATGTATACATGTATGGCTGCTTTGACTGAAATGAGATGACATTCTCACATCCTCAAGGGACGCGAGTGCGCACGTGTATCCAAGGTCACGTGTTAACTCATACTGATCCACTGAGGTCCGTTGTAAGAATATCATTTATATAATGTATATTTTTCTCTGTTTTGTAGTTCTCTAGTAACAAGGATGCTGTCAAATATTACAAGGAATCACATTCTCTAGGTGAGTCCTACACTTCTTACAATCTCTTAGACTTAGTTTAATATTTTATTAATATATTAATATAAAACATGAGGAGGCCCTCTTAAGGTCCTCATATTTTCCAGAAATAACTGTAGTGAGAACCAGTTTTACATAGTTAAAGCTGACATGAATTCTTAAATACGCAACATTTTCATCTATGTACGACTTGTTTCATACCAACTATAGCCGTATTCCGCCATATTTCTTTCAGATACCTTGTCTCATTGTAACGATGTATACCCCAATGCGCTCGTTACACTTGAATGATTTTTTGGATTGGGTATCGACTTGTGCACATCTCCGATGGTAAAGCATATGAGAACACATGAGGTGATCAAGACATTTCAAAAACAAAATAAACAACATAATAATCATATTTTTGAATGATTATTGATTAGAATCAAAAGAAAAAAATGCAAGTTTGGAAGAGAAATTTAGATGCATGAGTACGTAGTTTTACAGTGCGCCAATTTATGCAGAATAGACTTGAAATGAAAAGCAGTAAAATTTGCAAACACATTTTGAAATTATATCATTAGAATGGAACAAAACAACCAACGTCTTTGATTTGCAGGTCCTATGCAATTGATGCATATCGAGAAAACGCCTCGAACGCTGTAAACGTACCCATATCTGGTAATAAGGTTACTGCATCGGTTCGAAGATGTGCACAAGTCAAGTGAAATATACCCTAAATTCCATTTATTGAAATATGCATCACAAAAAAGAAATAAACTCCATAAAAGCTCAATAGTAAACACACTGTCATTACTCCGTACACACTAGCACGACGATACACTTAGTCCGTGCTGATCAGATTTTGGTCAGGGAAAATATCAAAAGTGGAAAGAGAAATTATTTGGTATTTGCGCGGCTGAAAGGGGGGAGGGGATATTATAACTGATGTTCATAAGCTATAATTGTGAATTGTTTATCTTCATGTAGTTTTAATATACATTCTAGACAAAGTCATGTATATAGTCTGCAGTTGGTTTGCATCGCAAAATTCATTTGTCAATTATAACTGATTATTTTAGTACTAATCTCAAATCTAAACAAAGTAATTTGATGTATGGCTATAATTTACTTCAAATCTTAAAAGCAATTAACCAGAATACAAATTTTTATTATGTGTACATTTATACATTCTTTAACACATACACACACGGAGAAAGGCCATCCCCTGTTCAGATTGACATTTAGGCATTTGATTTTTTGGACGGGGGGGGGGGGGGCATACAAAAATAATTGACATGACCGTTATTTAAATATTCTTGGAAGACAGACATTTCTGCCGAATTCAGTTTTGAGATTGCTATAAAATGTGTCACTCCGACCACAAAGTATGTGCATTTTGAGGAATGTAACTGTTTTATAATTATGTTGTTACAGGAAGTATTTCGAGATTTCAGTATCCCTGCCTGATAGTCTAGGTATTTTTTTTATATATATAAATAATTTCTGTGGGTGAATTTGGGAGATAATTTTAAAAGCTAGGGTAGGGATACTTGACACTGGTTGAATACGGATAATTATTATTTATTCTTTTGTATATTGAACTCTCTCTCTCTCTCTCTCTCTCTCTCTCTCTCTCTCTGTCTGTAACCATCCGTTGGGGCAATGATAGGTATAAAATCCTACGCACTTTGTGCTGTACCATTTATTATGCCTTAGGACAGATCAAGGATTTTTTTCAGGCGGGATGTCGAAACTTCATAAATTGAATAATAATTTTACTTTGGACAGGAAATTAACCCAAACGCCCAAATTGAAAGAGAAACTAGACGTACATGTATTATGAGCAATGAAGTCACTAAATGATACCCCCTGCCTCCCATGGTTATAATGGCAAAGTCTATATTTCGCTAAACTCATACGTGTCAGATCAAAAAGTAAAATAGGAGGTGCATAATGGTAATCTGTAATAAACTTAAGATTCTTTGAAAGTTTCATTAAATTTCTCTAAGTGGTGTAAGAGGATTTGCGGATAAGAGATGGGTACCCCAAAGCGTAACAGACAGACGAACGGACATAACGATTACCTCTAACTTTTCAGGCGGGGGATATAATAAACGTGAAATATAAATCACAGGACTGGGAACATTGGGAACTTTCTCGAATACCTTCTCAAACGTATGTGTCGAACTTGGACAACAGACAAGAGAATTTTTAAAAAGATAGTTTTAGGTAAAATGTGGAATTCTCACGAGGAGTTTACTCTCTCTTCCTATATGCTTTTTCTAATAATCATTACTTATTTATGTCTAGAAATTTAATTCACATTAAATTCTATTTTCATTATCATTGTACCAAAGAATCAAACTCGTTTATTATACCCCACGCGTGAGGTATAATGTTTTCGACCCGTCAGTCAGTCTTTTTTTTTTTTTTTTTTTTTTTTTTGGTCAGCGCAACTTCTCATAAACCACTGTACAGAGCTTTGTCGAACTTTGCAGATATTTATAGGAGACAATGTGTGTGTAGATTTGCACATCACCAGGAAATTCCGAATTCTTTATTTTTCGGGAATTTCCTCACTTTTACATTTAGATTTTGGCCATATCTTGAATATAGAGGTGAGCAGTTTGTCAGCGCAACTCCTCATAAACCGCTGCACACAATTTCGTCAAACTTTGCAGATATTTAGGACACGATGTGTATAGATGTGCATATTACAAGGAAATTACGATTCCTTTATTTTTTTTCTGGGAATTTCAACACTACTTCGGCTTTTGGGGGAGCGTGGGGTATGTGAACGTGCTCACTTTTTCTTTCATAGTGCATAAAATTATAGATAACTTTAAATCTAATTATATTAGGTCTAATAAAGCCAATACACAATATTTATTTGATAATAATTGATCATAAAGAAATCCAATCTGTTTCAGACGTTTTCTTACATTTTTTTCATGAGAGTGTTATGCATGTTTTATTATCCCCCCCCCCCCCCCCCCCCCTCATATCACGGGAAAATATCTTCAAAAGGTGAATGATTCGTAATAATGCCTGCTTTTTTTAATGAATTTGATGAAGTTAAACCATGTACTTAATCGTAAATTTTATTTACAACATGTACAGACAAGAGTAATGTTTATTTTTGAAAAATTACTTGCATTTTTTTTCAATCAACCCCACTGAGCTTTCAACCTTTGATATTTTCCCTGACCAAATAAAATGATCGGCATGGGCCACGTGTGTCCAAGCATCTTTTACTGTTGAGTTAGCAATGGATTACATGACTTCTGAGATGCATTTTTCAATAAAAGTAAAATCGGATAATTCTTCCGACATGTGCACATCCCTGTAACGATAGCAGTAGTCAGGTAAATGTTTTTATCACTGCGTTTGACGCGTTTTCTCGACCTGCATGGGTGTTTGATGTACATGTATGTATTCCGTGTTAGTTTATTTTCTATATTGCAGCAAATGCATTCAAAAATAATTTAATTCTCGGTATAGTTCTATTTTTTGTTGAATTTTTACTTTTCAAACATGTATTTGGTCAGTTTATGCGAGGCGAGAATCTTTCCCCTTGGCCATCGACGAACTTAAGTCCAACTACATCCAAAAAATATGTCACATACACATGTTTACATCACGTTCTACATTGTTAAAATTTACAAATAACCAAGTTTGTCTAATTTACCCTTTACTGAACTTTTTGACTTCAAAATCAACAGGGATCTTCCTTAGGCTATAAGGAGTTATTGTGTTGCAAAAGCTCAAAGGTTTCTCGAGGTATTGCGTGGAAACGAAAGCGTTACGCACAGACAGACAACTAGACGGACAGACCGAAATTAATATCCCCTCTCTGCGGAGGACAAAATTATCAACTTGTTTTGGAAGAAGTGTACAACAGCATGATATAAAACATTAAAATGTAGCACACAGTTCCAGGCTTTTCTGAAGTATTCGAACGCTTCAACTTTAGGGAAAAAAACAATTAAGGTCAGACGAGGCGTTCCTCAACATCTGTTTTGTATATCTTTGTAATGTATGAAAAATATTCAAAATTTTAATAACATTCTGATTTGTAAACCAGTTTCTAAACATTTTTTAAAAATCCAAACACTTAAAAATTTGAAATTGGAAAATTATTTTTCTTCCCCAAAGGATTATATAAGAAAAACTACCCCTGGTATCTTGCAGAAATGCCTGGTAAGGTACCTCAGTTTTTTGTGAGGAAACATGTTAAAGTAGCAATACTTCAATGACAAACTCTTACATTAATATTCTATCTATTATTAATGAACGTCTCGTCTGTCCTTAAGTTAAAAATATGTGGCATATGTCCTTAATTGTGTGTGTATAGCCTAGTGGTGTATGAGGAATTTTTTGTGTTTGGGGTCTCCAGTTCAACCCCCACCCACCTCTTTTCCAGATTTTGATAGTACATATTTGTTTTGTTTTAATAATAAAAGAAAAGTAATTTCACCATTTTCATATACATGTATATATCTCACTTACTCTCTCTCTCTCCACTCATTTACTCTCTCTCCACTCCCCCATTTTCTCCCCCACCCACTTACTCTCTCCCTTCTCACTTATTCACTCTTTCCCCATTCACTCACTCATTCTTTCTCCCCACTTATTCTTTCTCTCTCCCCTCTCCCTCTGTCTCTCCCCACTCTCAGTCTCACGAGCGGAGTATGAGAAAGTTATCATCTCCCCACTCCAAGCAGGAGTAGGGAGTCGAAGAGGCAGGGGATTAGGGCAGGTAAAATGCAAGGGTGAAGTTTCCCTTTCGTTTTTTCTCTATCCAATTCCTCCCTCTACCAGCATGTTTTCTCTCACACCACTCTCTCTCTCTCTCTCTCTCTCTCTCTCTTTCTTACCCTCTCTTTCTTTTTCTTTTTTTTTGTTTTTTTGCTTTCCAATATTTTGTCACATATTTGTCGTAGAAAAATTTATATATGGAAACAATATTAAAAAGTAATAGTGTTTTAAGTCTGGCATTACTATTATCGCCAAAATTTATGATACAGGTTAGTTTGATTCAAACTAAATCACAACCAATAATTTTTAATTATGATTTTGAACATTCTTGAAAAATTAACTATACAGAGAAACATATGTGATCATTTATAATCACGAAATAAACCATCGAAATTTGCAACGCATACAAAACGTTTACGCTAAGAATAGAACTACTGAGTCACGTGCGATTCCAATTCCTACTAAAACATTGTATGTGTATGTCAGATCGTCATATTAAAATTGTTTTGCAACTTTTATTGGTAATTAAAAGGACTTTATACATGATATAAACCTACATGATTATTCACGTATAGGATACAGATAGATTAAATTTTACTGTAATTTATTCATATGATATGGCAATGAAAATTAAACTAAATTAAAAAAAATTATAGTGAAAGTGAACATGTCACTAAATTACATATTCTAATTCCTTTTTATCGTTGGCGTGCATGTTTCTGACATAAAGGATTTGATATATGTAATACTAGTATTTGGTTTACTCTACTGGCGATTTGGTGTTCACTAAATCGCCTCTGGTGTAACACTGCCGCCTTTGCGTGATCTTTCTGAATGGGGTGTCAATTGATTGGTTATTGGACCGATCAATTATAGAGGTTCCAAGTCATTCTGTTAATTAAGTTCTGAAGTTAAGAAGAAGGCGAGGTAAACATAATTTTTAAAAATATTTTATGGTGAATTTAGAAGAGAAAAATAATGTCGGTGTGTATGTGATGTAGTTGCTGGGAAGAGGTTGAAGGGGAAAGTTTAAGTCAGTCGCCATAAAAATTTAATGAAACCAAGCCTGCATTTTGTTATATTCTAAAAATACGAATTATCTATAAAAATTATAGGACAGATGATACAATCAAAAATCACCTTGAAATCCGAGGCTGATGCAAATTCTATTATCATTCATTACCCCTAAAAATAATATATATACAGAGTCCTGTCCACAAACACCTGTGGTATACAGGCCCAGAGATGCCTCTGTTTTAGAGGTTTCGAATCAATTTTTCAGTCAATATCGAATCAAGCGCCCTCTACTGTTGCTGACTATAAAATAGTGGAGGATGCTCAGATTGGGGTTCGATCCTCCCTTTCCACGGATTTGCAGAATTATTAAATTATGTACTGGAGCAAACAAAAAATACAGATATGGATATAAAGATTTGACTGCTTATTCTTTTAATGCAAAATTTTTATCACACAATAATTATGATAGTTTGTATACGTCATAAATTCTTCGTTTCAGATGTTAAGTATATCATTTAGTAATTGATAAAAAAAAATTAAAAAGGCTATTCGGGATTAGAATCAGGTGCATTTCGCATGCAAAGCGAGAATTTTTCCCTGTGGCCATCGACGAACTTGACATTGCGATGAATTAAGGTAGTCCGATCCTCAGGTTTATAAAATTAGCAGTTAAGTAACCAAAAATACTCATAAAAGGTTCTCTGAATCCACAACGTTATGTAAATTTATCTACAGTATTTCTTTAAAGTTAAAGATTAAAGTTAATCATATTATATAGGGAAAATTGTCAAATCTCCAATATTTTTGCAGAAAAAGCGAATTGAATTATCAGCAATGCATTTTCTAATGCAAATTGATGAACAAATATATTTTAGGTTAAAAAACGATAGGTATCCAGGCATTCAGAGAAATTATCATGATTTTTTTTTACTTATTTGGTATTTTTTAATCTTCTATTTCCGTCATGTATTCTATAATACATAGTGTAAAAGGCTTTTGCTATCATTGCAAGACACCACAAATCACTTTTCATTTCATAGCATGCTAATAAGCATTGGTAACTTTTGGATTCAAGAAAATCTTATTTCTCTAAAACTGTATTAATTTTTTTCCTTTTATAGGGTACAAATGTCAACTTTTATAAGACCTTTTCTAAGACTTCCAAAAACCTTGAATCTTATAAAGATGAATAAAATGAAAATTATTGTATGAAAAAAAAATCATTTTCAAGTTTCATTTTGATGCATTTCAAATTAAATATTAATTTTTGGAGTTATCCTCCCTGGCTGAGGATCGAATAACCTTAAATGCAAACAATAGGTCACATACTTATCGTATGTTACATGTTTACATCACGTTTATCATTGTCCGAATTTACAAAAAAAAAACAAGTGCGTCTAGTTTAGCCTCTACCAAATATTTTGACTTCAAAACCAATAGGTGTCTTCTTTAGGTCATAGGGAGTTGTCATGTAGAATTTAATTACAAAAGTTCTCGAGATATCGCTTGGAAATGAAAGTGTTCATGACATGAACAGAGGGACGACAGAAGGGCGGTGGGGGGGAAGAGGGAGTTATGATAAAAAAAATTAATTGCAAAAACTCAAAAGCTTCTTCAGATATCGCCCGGAAATGAAAGTTTTACAAACACACATACGAGGGTTGTTCGAAAAGTTCGTGGACGATGTCAGTCTAATTTATATTACTTACTAGAAATTTAAAATAAGTACAATCTAATACGTTAAAATATTTGTTTTGTTGATGTGTGAAGTTTCATTTCATTCGATTTAACAGAAATCAATTTACTTCAGTTTAAAATCAACATGCTTCGTACCCGCGGAGCACACTTAACGGAACTGTAACGTCAAAACATAGCGTCAAGAATTTCTAAAAAATACTATCCCTATACATTTCACAGAGTATAATCCAATATCCATTCATTAAACCCTTTTTCTAATATTTGAAATTTATCTTTTAAGAATTGCTTTCCTTTGTTAAGGTTTTGATTGCTTTTATTACTAAACTCTGTTTTCATGCTATCACAGGATAAGCAACTCTGAAGCGCCCATGTCCTTTCTTGACATTCCAACTTTTCAAAGTTTTTGTTCAGATTTTTAAAGTTAAACCGTTTCTTCACAGATTTTCCTCATCCGATACTGAGTCTGTGTCACTGAAATAATGCCTGTAGTATTTGTACACACATGCACAGCTCACTTGTGACATATTTCTCGATTCCTCCAACTTTATTAGTGTTTATTCAGGATTTTTCCGAAGAAAAACACAAAATTGCACCGTTATCTGCTGCTCTGTGATGTTCTAAAACGTCATCGTTTTTGTCGTTTTCATTAAGGACTACTTATCTTCCAAAGTCGATTGCTTTTCAACCAAGCAAAATATAAAGCAAAATTTTTTTACACGAATCGATATAACAACTCTTAATTTGAATTGCTAGGTTGTTTTTCATTTTTGCTCCATTTTACAGAGAATATGACTTCAGACATTATTAAGTGTTTTGTTTGTAACTTACAAAATTTTGACCTGCTCCGCTATCCGATTTTTGCATTTTTAAAATCTAGATAAGTTTTAAATATATCGTAATATTTTGAAAAAAAAGTAATACAAATCATTTAGATTTATTGTTAAAATATTTCTACCAAATTTGGATAACATATGACGTCAAATACAAAAGATATGACAGTTGTCCACGAACTTTTCGAACAACCCTCGTACATAAAATGTATATGAATTTTCGACTTTGACCCATGACCTTAAATTTAAAAGGGATCTTCTTTAAGCCATAGGGAGTTATGGTATAAAATATCATTGCAAAAGCTCAAAGGTTTATCGAGATATCGTGCGGATCCGAAACTGTTGAAACAGACTGATTATTTTTAAATTTATGACTTGACCTTTTGACCTAAAAAATTGTTAGGGATCCTTCTTAGGCCATGAAGAGTTATTGCGTAAAATTTCATTGCAAAAGCTTAAAGGCTTCTCGAGATATCGCGTGACGTGGAAACGAAAGCGTTACTCAGACAGAACTACAGCTAGACGGACAGAAGGAAGGATTACTCTTACGATTTCGCCGTATTTTGTACGGATTTTTAGTCCAAAATACGTCTCACGTTTTGCTATTATGAAAATACGGAAATAAGAGATACACTTTTTTAGAATTGAGAAGTTATAATCGTTATAATCTGTCTCAGTTTCATGCTATTTTAATCGCTAAAAAAAATTTCAAATTCAGTTATGTCTGTTTGCCAAAACGCCGTGGTATAAAATGATCAAGATCATGTTATTTAACCATGTTTTAGTAATAGAAAAGCAGTTGTTCTCCATTTATATATGTGACCGTGTCATATTGAAGAAAACAGTTATAGGGTTGCATGGATTCTTTATTGCCATGGATCTCGTTCCACATATAAACAGTCAATAAAGTGAAAATATTGGCCCTATAAGAAATAAAATACAATAAGTAAATGACTCAAACAATATATTCAGTTCAATGATGTCCTCATACATCGACACGGATTTTAATAAAAATATATTTAACAGATTATAAATGTTCCAAATTCATGAATGCATAAAAAGGGAAATAACTCTTACAAATTACAGAATTACCAAAATCGTGTTTAGATAGAAATTTCCGTAAGTTTGATTAATTCATCAAAGTATATTAAAAATGTAAAAACAAGTAATAATTCCTATAGCGTACCAATTTATGGAATTAGGCTGACCGCTACAAGAAGCTGGTAACAAGTTGTTCAAATATTACATGTATACTGAACCTATATAAAAACAACAATCACAGGTTCAGCCGTAATCTCAAGACAATATTATAGCTGATCATAAAAATAATAAAACTGTACAAATTACAATATCTATATCTAGTATTGCCTATAATCAATATGATTACTGATAATAATACAAGAGACAATGAACTTTATTTCTGCCACATATATGTAAAATTAATGAAAAGTGAAATCTTACTGGCAAATGCCAAATCTCACGGACAAATCTAATCAAAAATACTGAGATACAAGTATACGGGTAAACAGGTCTGGGACAGACAGACCGAAATCAAGATCCCTCACTTGCAGCGTAGGACAACTAACAATGTAAAAGAAATTTCAGGATCTTACTCGGTTGTCTTTCTTTTCTTGTAGGAATTTCTGTGAATTTAGACGATGAAGCTTCGCGCCAACTCTTTAAGGTACATTTCTGAAACTATTACACATGTAATTAACAAATATTCATTGGTTTGAGCCGATTCCTTCTTTTACCTGTATTCTTTATTATGACTTTTTTTTCTGTTTCAGTCTTCTGCACACTGCCCGCGACATCGAATATTATTGAAACATCGCAGGATTGAAAGAACTAACAATTGACGAAGAACTTGCGTGCAGAAAACAACCTCACCGTAATTCTATAGAAATTGCATTTCTTAATGTTATTTTCTGGTATACATTTTTCATAAGTATGGTACTGAACAATTTTTTCTTAATGTTATTTTCTGGTATACATTTTTCATAAGTATAGTACTGAACATTTTTTCTTAGTGTTATTTTCTGGTATACATTTTTCATAAGTATAGTACTGAACAATTTTTTTCTTAATGTTATTTTTCTGGTATATTTTTTTCATAAGTATAGTACTGAACATTTTTTAAAATGTTATTTTCTGGTATACATTTTTCATAAGTATAGTACTGAACAATTTTTTCTTAATGTTATTTTCTGATAAACATTTTTCATAAGTATTTTTTTTTTTATTCAGAATTTATGAAAAAATGTGTAAATAATTATATTCAGTCTATTAAAATTTAAGGATCTTTGGTGTTCTTTAAAAGGTATTCAATTTATGTTACTCTATATTTTACCACTGCTATTGTTTTTAAAATAGTCTGTAAAATCTTTATTCTTTCAAGTTTTGTAAAACAACGCATTTGTTTGTGCTTCACGGGAACCATATATTGAAGAAAGAACTTCATTATGTACTTGTAATATTTACATCATATTTCTCTTCCTTATGAAAATAATACTCTGCATAAAAATGAGTATTAGTTTCACATTGTGCCAGCAGTTGTATCGTAATGCAGAGTTTTACAATTTTAACTTTGCCCCTCCTCGGTGTAGATTTAATTAATATGGATCATAGGACTATTGCATCATAGTTGCAATACTATAACTGGATCTTTTACGGAAGATTTTGTTGCCCTGTCCATATTAATTGACGCCAGCGAAATTATGTATCTAGCTCCATTGTACATAACGTCGCCCATCGGTGCATATTGACACCACGGGCGACAATATGTTCCTGCTGAGCCTCATAACACACTCAAAATAGGCGACAAAGCGCACCGTACATGTTGGCACATACTAGGATTGTGCCCAGTGACCATAAACAGGTCCTGATAAATGTCTTGAACATTTTGTTGCCAAAAGGACTGTATTGTTCTGGAGTCAGAGAGGAAGAGCAACACATTCTTGTATTTTTAATGATTTTATATAACATGTATTCTTGTTATTTGCATAATCCTCCTTTTCACCGTGCAACTTGTATTTTGAATATATGTGTAAATATTTATAGCATTTTATTGCGGCTGCTCATTAAACATGACAACTGTGTGTTTAAACATTGATTTTTTACTTGCCTGAGTGTAGCATATATTGTTTGTTAAGCCTTGAGCTGAATAAAAAGAAGTAACATACAATAAATCTTTGTGACAACATCATTAAGAATTGCTACCAGACGGAACATTTGCATGCATTTGTTACAAGGCCATGTCTTATAGAAAACTTCTGCCAACTGTATTCTCATCTTTGCGCAGTAAGAGGATAAGTTTATGACAAATGCTTATAAAAACTAGTTCGGTTTGTGTGTATATTTATATCCTTCTTTGCCCGGATTGAAAATCTCTCCATTGCTTTTGGGCTTCAATGCCTAAGGCTCATAATGGCAAAAGCCAAAGACG